TTAACGAGGGAATTGTGTGTACGGTATTGCCTCGATCTCCCCTAAGCGCTATTTTCTTCATAACAATTTTTTCTATTTTCATTTTATTTCAGAGCATCGTGGGCCACAAAAAATTACCTCGAGGGCCGCATGCGGCCCGCGGGCCACCAGTTTGACACCCCTGCTATAGGGAAACCAAAGCTGTCAGTTAGTAAAACATAAATATACCTTGTACAAACACGTTTCTCACAGCAGTACTAAATAAAGATACAGTAATTTAAAATGTTTTTGTAAACCCCATATAACACATAGAGAGAAAAGGCTGGATATTGTTCACAACTCTGCAGAAAGGAAAACAGGCAGGCTAAACAAGAAAAAAATATCCCAATAAAAGGCTAGGAGAAAAAAAAATTTAAATTCTTAATTGTCTTTTAGTAAAGGAACCAAAGCTGTTGTTTCCTTTTCTATTCTGTATTATCAATAATGAACATTTTACCATTTAGATATGTTAACTTAAAAATCCAAGAGAAAGAATACCTGTATTTCTGTTACTGCTGCAGTCGGGACATCAAAGCAAACACCCTAGAATTCAAAACAAATTCAAGTGAATCCAGCATTTGACTTGAGTTATGAAAAGCACATTAATACTCCAAATGACCAGGTATTATGTTAAAAAAAAAAAAAAGGTATCAATTTTGGATAAACTTTAGACCAAGGCCAACATATTGTACTTCCCAAAAGCACAATAGCAAAAAGCCAAGGGTATAAAAAAAATGGACTCAAAAACCATTCAGAACAGACTAGAGATCATTCTTGGCTGTCACAATGTGCTAATCCTCAAGCAGCTATTAGCTACTGTGTTTCCCCGAAAATAAGACTGGGTCTTTTGTNCAACTTGGGCCAGTGAAGCATCGTCCTCCACAACTAGACTGAAGAACAAAAGGACAGCAACTTGTCTGTTCCCCTTCCAATTCCCCAGCGCTGTTCCCATCCCCCAATTCCCCAATTAAAAAAATCTTTAAAAAAACACACTCGATGCTAATGTCAGCGTTAGGTGCTGGAGCTCCACTAATGCCTGGAGTTCAGGCGAGTGACCAAACCAGGAACTATCCTCATTCATTGGACCCCCTAGTTAGCGGAGAGACGGACAAGAGTACAGTGTAAGTTTGACCCTCCAGAACCATGTAAAGGGAAAACGTTTGCAATTGAAAAAAAAAAAACCACAAAAAACCAAAAAACAAAAACAACTCATTAGCCACCTTTGGAGGAAGCTAGGGAACCAATTCTGAAAACGGGTACATAAAGGGAACGTATCAAGCACTTATCTGGTCTTTTCTGTAGAAACAGTATTCAGGATAATGAAGTACTGATTAGGCAAACTTCCTTTCTCAGAGGTATGTTTGCTAATGAATGAAAAAGAAAATATAGAATATCGCCATCTTGCAAGAATCCTAATGATACTATGGATTCAGGCAATGATCATCTCTTGCTGCTAACATCAAAAGACAGGGACAACTGGACATTGTGTACCCTTCTAGGTCTAATTATTTATTTGCATTAAATGCAGGGGGGAAAGAAGCTTGTTAAATGACAGGTGGAGATGCATCAATAAAACTCACCATCTACAGAACAAATAGCCTGGCTTCTTCAAAAAATAAATTGCAAGGAAAGAATTCTCCCTTCTAAAGAGGAATTTGCCAAAACACAATAATAACTACGTATACACTTACCTTTGACCCAGCTCTCCCACTTCTAGGCATCTACCCTGAAGATACACTTTTCAACAGTATGAAAATACACACACACAAGGTTCCTCACGGAAGCACTGTTTGTAACTGCAAGATACTGGAAACAATCTATGTGTTCACTCCCATATATAAGTGGAGTGAGTTCCAGGATATATTGTTAAGAAAATAAAGCAAAGTGCAAAACAGTTTCTACAGGATGGCACCCTTCATGTTAAAATTCCTGGTTTTGATAAGTGTACTGTGGTTATAAAGTGTTAATTTAACGGCCAAGTGGCTCATTGGTTAAGAGTTGGCTTGGGAGCGCCAGCTCTGAGCAGCAGGGCCACCAGTTCGGATCCCACATGGGCCAGTGATGTTGCACCCTCTACAGCTAAGATGGTGAACAACAGCTCGAACTGGAGCTGGGCTGCCATGAGTCGCTGGCAACGGTGTAGGCTGCAGTGGGGCTGCAGAAAGCTACCATGAGTGGCCAGCAGCCAGCGTCAGCGGCCGGCAGCTGGCGTGAGCTGCCGTGAGCCGCCGTCCAATGGCCAGTGACCAATCTGCCTCAGCTGGGAAGAACCCAATGATCACAATACCAACATGGGCCAGTGAAGCGACGTCCTCCACTAAACTGAAGAACAAAAGAACAACTTGTCTGTTCCCCTTCCCCCAATTCCCCAATGCTGTTCCCTCCCCCAATTCCAATAAAATCCTAAAAAAAAAAAGATACAATATTATTTTGCACCTAGCAAACTGACAAAAGGAAGCCAAAATCCAGTGTCCCAGTGCGATGGGGAAACAGGTTCTCATTCATTGTAGGGTGGGAATGTAAACTGGTACTGCTTTGGAGAGCCACTTGCACCAAAATATATGTTCACTTTGACCCTACAATTCTACTTTTAGAAAATTCATCCTAAACTGACAATAACACAAGTAGGTCAAGATTTATACAAGGACACTCATTTTAGGGTTGTTTATAGTAGTGAAAACTTAATCAACATGGTTTTCTAGAGTCCTGGTTAAATATAAGATACCAGTTAGTCATCAAAAATGTCACAGATCAAAAAAAAAAAGTCATAGATCTGTACTTACAGAAAAGTGTGCACAACATGTTGAGGGGGAAAGAGCAATTCACAGAACAGAATCAATGATTTCAATTTTGTAAATGAATTCCTGGAAGAGATGCTCACAAAAAATGTTAGATATGGGGTGACTATTAGTTGTTTTTTCTCCTATGTTTGGATTTTTACACCTATTACTTATTATGTTTAAAATAAAAATTTCAAGCTATTTTCGATTTTAGGAAGTCACCAAAAACAGAAATAGTTAAGTATTCATGTATTTATAATGGCATAAAGTACTATTTTATTACATTAACTCAATTTTACAGTAAAAACATTTTATGTACAACTGTAAAGAAACCACTACAAATAACTCCAATGTAAAATTGTATTGTATTTCAAAGTTCATTGATTTGTTTGATACATAAATTGGAAAATACTTTCTCAGTAGAAAATAGTACAAATGATAACATTTCCCAGGCTAGCCCAACAAGCCCATTTAAACCAAGCAATAGCTGAATCATATATTTATAAATATGGTCTGAAGTCTGGGATCCAGGAGAAACTTTAGCTTCACTTATTAAAACAGCCGTTTTCCTTAAAATTAAGTTGCGTAAAGTGAAACATCCAATAATCTTCCCCTTTACCCTTGATGTACACCTGATTATTTTCTTTAGGCTAATCCGCATCAAGGTTTTACCTGTTCCCTCCTAAACAACAGGTACCATGTCCTTTTAATCTGCTTGGTAGATTAAACATTCCAAACTGTGAAATGTTTTGGTTGTTATTAAAGTATGTTTAGTATTTGAGCAAAACTAGAATCTAATATGTTGTAATACACAAGGCACATGAGTTGTCTGCCATCAAACAGCTTCCCCAAAATCCCTGTGGCTTGATGGGAAGCCATGAGGAATAGGAGGAAAAGCGTTACAATTGACAAGTGGATCAAGGAATAAAAGCAAGAGGATTTCTGAGAACAGAGAAACAAACATCCAATCAGGATTGAGATAAAACAGAAGTCCAAACAGAAAAAGAACATTGCCTCAAGAATCCAAGTTGAGTTGGCTATCTGATCCCCTAATGCTACCAGGTGATCAAGTAAAGGCAATTAGATATAGACTCAACTAAGTGAGAGACATCACAGCCTAGAAAGATTTGTTTTTCAAAATAATTAAATGAAAACCAGACAAGCCATACAGTTTAACTTCTCCCATCATAACTTATTCCCTGAGATTCCCAGGACAGAATTTCTAGGAATTAAGGTAAGAAGACAATGCCACTCTTAAGCTCCTGCACCATGTAGAAAGTTTCCCAGAGAACATCTGAATTATCTGGCCGGGGGACTATACTAAGATCCACAGTTTTCTCAAAGCAACAACTTAAAATAACCATAGTGTGGGCCGGCCAAGTGGCTCAGTTGGTTAAGAGCTCAATCAAAGAGTGCGAGCTCTGAGCAACAGCAGTTCGATCCCTGCCAGAGCTGAGCTGCCGCTGAGCTGCCAACAGGCGGCAGGATGGCTCAGCTAAAAAAAAATAATGAAGTAAAATAACCATAGTGTGTCTTAAAAAAAAAAAAAGTCTCTAGGGAGCTAAAACCTTTCAATGGAGTAGCAGTCTAATGAAAACAGATTACTATATTGTAGCTATAGGAACTAGGCCTTTGGGTAACTAAATTGGATCATTCTACCTAAAAACCCCTGTTTGCCCATTAGAAATTAACCTCCAGAAACACTCATTTAAGTTTCCACCATTAAAAGAAAACTTTATTATGTATCTTCACTTGTTCTCTTTGCTCTCAACAGACATCAATGTTTCCTGCTCACATGTAAAAAATATTTTCATTTGAGTTTTTTTAACTCAGCAATAAAAAAAAAAAAATCTTTGCCCCTGACTTCCTCCCTTAATTCCTTCTTGGTAAATAATGTTAATCTTCCAATAGGAAGTGGAGTACATTATCATCAAGCCCCATTTATCCAGACTCCTTCTTTATGAAGAAAGTTATGGGGCCATCTTATACATTTTATAATTACTTAAAAATACTTGCTTTCTATTAAAATACTGTTATATATACATACATAGATACATAAAATCTGTGAATTCACTGAAGCATGCATCACCTTCAACTGAGAGCCTAAAAATGTATCAAAACACACATAATGATGGCTAATCTACACATCCCCTATCAAATGTACCACCACCCTCCAGATCTAGAATATATGCTGGCATAAACTTTACTACATCCCAGCTACGTTTGAAATCTTGCTTCAAAACATCACTCAGTATTAATCCTCAGAAAACGTGTTATAGAATAGGACCACAGGAGTAATTATTAGGCAGGCAGGTGGTTGAGAAATGCCAATTACAGAACCACCCCTGACTTCTCAAAGTGCATCTCCGGAAACTGCTGTATTCCTCACAGGTATTTAAGAACACTATTAAAAGACACTTTTAATTATAAAGACAGGTCAACTTAAAGAGTATAGACAGACACATGCTTGAATTTTCCTTATGATCTATAGCAAATGCATTACAATAAAATATAATGAATTCATACACCTTTTTAAAAGGAAGACCTGACATAGAAGTAGCTATCAAGTTATAAATGACAATCATCAGATGAAATAATTTAGGTGTAGCTTGTTTCTCTGGAAGAGATAGGGCCTGGGCAAATGGTCAGGAAGGAAACACAATGTACTTTTAACTTTGTATGAAAAAAATGTTCAGTTCCATGTTGCCCAACACAGTTCTGTTTTGCCACATAAATCCTCTACTTCAAATTACTGACCAAATGCTTTATTAAAACTCCGCTTCTGGCCTTTGTTTTGGAATCTGTTGTTACTTCTGTCGCCACCCGCTGATCGCTGTCCCCTGAAGTTTCTGTTTCCTTCCCGCTGTCCCCTGAAGTTTCTGTTTCCTCCCCGTTGTCCCCTAAAACCTCGATTGCCATCCCGCTGTCCTCTGAAATTTCGGTATCCTTCCGGTGGTCCTTCCAGCTCTGGTTGCTCCGTGGCCACAGAGAGCTGCCAGCGCCGTGAATCATGCCATTTTTCCTGTTGAGAGATGCTTTTGTTTCTACCTGCTTTGATTTTTATTAAATTTGATTTTCAAAGGCATTAGAAAGACAACATTTTTGTCCTTTCTCAAAGACAAAAACCAGATTGATAACCTATGTGCTTAAAAAGTCACTGGTCAAAAATAATACTAACTTTCATGGCCCAAAAGCCAAGGTCACTGACGTGTGGGAAAATAAGTTTCACTGTGAGAAGTACTCTCTAAGTGTATCATCATCACAGTATCATTTATTCAGTTCCATTACTATAGGGCAGGGGT